GGGAGATGCAGAGCTGGATGGATACACCTGATAGAAACAGACAGGTAAGTGGTAAGGACTGTAGGCATCTTCTGGTGTCCCCATCCAGGCTTCCCATGCAGCAGCAGGTTGCAGATGGAAGATGTCAGGGGAAGGTGATCATGGCAAGCCCCAAACCCTGTCTTTGCTTTGCTCTTACAGCAGCACTCATCATTTCATTTCAGAAAGTGGTAGCAACCATAATAATGTTTAATGTCATTCATATGTGTCTAAAGAGTGGCATGGTGAATCACAGAAAAGAAATGGCATTGAGAGAACAAAAAAGAGTGAGCATTTATGCCCCTGCAGAAGAGTGTTTTCTGCAACGAGCAGCGTCACTTGGAAGCTGAGAGGAGCAGGCAGTGCCTTCCCTCTGGCAGCACCCTGCCCCACAGCAGGCTCCAAGCACTCATCCTGGAATAAGGGGTGTGCTATGTGTGTGTCCCCTGGGAGCAGTGATGTCGGAGTCAGTAAATCACAGACGGTCTCCTGTCTGTGAGTGTAGGCACAGGGAGGGAAGAGCACGTGCCTGCCTGCTGTGCCTGGAAAGATGCATTGCGGCTGTCAGGAGCCAAAGCACAAGGAGCTCTCTGGTAACAAATATTAAACTTCTCTGAAACAACCAGAAAATATTGCTGTTAGGCAGGTGGGAGGACTTCCCTGAGATGCACAGTTAATACTGCTTGCTTACATTGATAGCAACAAGCCAGTGACATTCAGCAGTCTGCAAAGCAGACACATCTGCCTGGGAGAGATGGCAATTAAAAAGGCAAGTGCAGGGACATAAGCCACCCCGTGGGTCTCCTCTCCTGTCAAAGAGAGTAGCACCAACACAGGGGGAACATGCTGCAGTTCCCAGCTGTAGGCCAGCCTGCTGGCTCAGTTTGTAGGGTTGTGCCCATAGCTGGGACTGTGGGGCAGGTGCAGGGCTAGAGGTGATGTATCAGTAGAGGTGGTCAGAGATTTAGTGCCACATACAAAGGTGATAAAAAAGCAGTAGCAGGTGTGTTCTTGAGCATCTTCCCTGAAGCAGCTGCTCTACCTCCTTTGGGCCAGGAGTACAGGGTTGCCCCCCTGATGGCTTTCCACTGGGGTCTGTGCCTCCCAGCACCAGTGCTCAGCTGCTCTGACCCCTCGCACATCCCTTCGTTGTACGTAGTTCAAGCCATGGCCAATTTTCTGGCTGTGAAAGCACTGACAGTAAGGGATGCTCATTCGAAAGCTTGCTTTAGCTTTCTCCTAAATTACCTGGTGCTGAGGAGCAGTAAAATATTTATTAGATGTTACAAAACCAAGCCCAGAACAGCAGCCTGCTGAGCAGTTAAATATTCCTCCTTGCAGTGGTACTGGAACAGCAGGTGTCCTAAGGAAATAGAGCTTTATCTGCTCCCAGTTGTGTGCTGCAAGCTGATCGCTCTGAGACAAAAGAGAGATGCTCCCTCTGGGAATTCCCTGCGGTCTTCCGCTGAGCTGCTTCTTGCCAGACACAGGTGGTGCTGATGCTGACACGGTGCCTGCAGCGCAAAGGGCTTCCAAGCTCTTAGCTCTGATATCCCTCTGTGTAAATGCATCGACTACTGGTTTGTCAGAGGCTAATTGACGTCCCTGTTGGATGAGCCAGATCATCTTTTGCTGGTGTTCCATGATTTGCTTAGGACTGTGATAGGGAGATGGCACGTAACAGTTTGTTCTGCCTCATTTCTGAGGTCACCAGATTGTTCTGGGCACACAGTTTCAGTTGCTTCCTGCCTTCTTGGTCTCACATTTGGATGCCGAGGTGATCCAGCTGCTGGTGAACTCTTCCCAAGAATGTGTTCTGCTACAGGGAACTTCTCTACCAAGTGTTTGCCAAAACACCCTGCAGTTGCCTGCTGATGCTGAGTGCTAAGAGTGCCCTGCCTGGTACCAGCACCAGTAGTTCACCATCCCTGGATCAATTAATTACCACTTTAACATGCACATGTGTATTTTGGTTGCCAGATAAACATGTGCTGCAGATAAAGGCTGTGAAACGCTCCACTGTACAAACAGACTGTGACAGTGACTTGGGGCGTTCACTTGGGTCCAATATGTGCAAGCAGGGCATTTCTGCAGAAATGGCTGTTATTTCTTGTGTAAAGGCTGCTGGGCCTTGCAAGTGGGAAAAGCAGGAAGGGCTGAAAAATGAAGGGAAGGTTGTTAGAATGAACCTCTGTGAGCCACCACCCTGTTTGCTCCTGGCTCCTTTCATCTTTATGTTTACAACAGAGAGCACTGCTGAAACTAAGTTTAATATAAAAGCAATTAATTCTGGCTAAAATTGACTTTCTAGATAACCTCTGTAACAGTAATATGGACACGGATCAATATAGCTGTGCTGTTTCACAGCCTGGTGGAAGAACAAGGGTCCTGTTAGCCATGGGCTGGTCCATGCTGCACGTGTACTGTATCAGAGAGGCTCTCCCTTGTTGTTGATGTGAAAATGTGTCTAGAGCTTGGGGTGAGGAGGAGGCAACCAACACTCCAGTAGAGAAAAACCCGGTGATTCATTTCCACAGCCCCCGGGAGCTCGTGTGCCAGATGAGTATTGGGAGCTTCTGTGTATTTCAAGAAGCATCATTTGTTCTGAAGGTAGCCCATTCAATATTGAGGAAGGAGCAGAAAGTATTGCTGCTAGGTAGTATTACAGGAATTGAACAAGCAAAGACTTGTGGAGATTGTATTAAGAAATAACCTGGGAAAAATAATAAAAATGTCATGCACATTGATAAAATCCCTAATGAAAAGCCTCTTAGCTCAGGAGGTCTGTGCTCCTAGTTTGTCTTGTGCCTCGGCACACTGATTTCAATGTTGCCTGCAGTTTTCCTATTTCTTTTCTTGGTTTCATATGGCTTTTATTCTTTTGCCATTCCTGCTGGACGTTCACAATGGTTGCTAATGCAATATCGTCAATACATTTAATTAACGTCCTGATTTTCTTCTCTTCCAGATAATTAAATGCTTAATAAAAACAGACCTAGCACCTTCCCACAGGTATCTCCCATTTATCACTACATTGTCTCTGTCTCGTCTTGTTGCTGACCCAGTTTTCTTTCCAATTCCATCAGGAGATTCCATCAGCTCAGATAAGTCTGGATCCCGTTTTACATCTGATGCTGTGGGTATTGCCCAAGGGTTCATGCTATCTGTAGTGCTTTTAGCAAATGCTACGAAGGGTTTTAGTTGTCTGACGAGGCAGGTGGACTCTTCTATCCAATAACTGAATCCTGCCAGCCTTACGGGCAGGAGCTTGGCAGTGCTTTTCTGGAGGACTTGTTTCAGAATGACCAAGCTGAGGTGGGTCAGTTTAGAGGGATGGTTTTTGTTTCACCCCTGGTGATGCTGAGCCTTGTTGTGTGTGTCAGACTCTGTGAAGTCCGGGCATTTCTTAGGCTGCTGTTTTGGGAGTGAGAATGTAAGAAAATCTGGCACCCACACTGGTAGCAAAGGCTGTTGCATGCTTTCTGAAGCAGAGATAGCCAGTCTTGCTTTATGTAGCTTTGCTGAACACCTCTCTATAAGCACCAGGATAAACTAATACCAGATTATCACATTAAATTGCCATTGCTCACTAACCCTCCTCGGCACGGTGTTGCAGAATTAATTACCAGTATTTGTGGTGTTCGTTACCGCAGTCCCTGAACACCACGCGTGGTGCATCATCCAGGCGTACTGATATTTATCGTCACATTTTCCAAGTGGTCCCTCTCCTGCCTTTTATCTCTAGCCGTGTTTACCAGGCTTCATTATACTCTAGTCATTTGGATCTCTGTAGTTTTTGATGCTTTATTCAAAGCCATTTAGACCTTTAGAGCCATTACTTTTATTTCTTTCATCCATTCTAATGGGCTCTCTCCTTCTGCTGGCATACGAGCAAGAAAAAACGCTCCTCTTACCCTTCTTACCCTTCCCTAGACTTCCTGGTCATTAGTAAATAATTATCCTAATTTTTACTGCTCTCTTTTCCCTTCCAGTTTGAAGTTGTCATGTATACATCTTGTTTTGTTCCTTCTCTTTTGTCTAAATTAATTCTTGTCCTCAAACCTGAAGTAGGCGCATAGCAAACCAGACACAACAATGCTGAAATCCTGCAGCTCTTCAGATGAGTGTTACCCACATCTTAAAGTGTTTTACTGCCATTGCTGGTACATTACTTACGTACCTGCTGTAATGCTGTGCAATGAGCTGAAAAGGTAGTGGTGGGTTTTTTTTTTAGCTGTATCTTTTTAAATTGACAGGTAAATTGACAAAATAACGGTGTGTTATCTTACAAGGCTGAAATAAAGCCCTGTGAACCTTTTATTGATGTCACTGTGCCAAAATTAGAGTTGTCTTGTAAGTTGTACCGACTGCATGCTGGGCAGAAACTGTTTTGAGCAGTAAAGGGACAGCAAAGTCTTTGTTTTGATAAGGTGAACAGGTTTGCCCTTGAATTCGCATTAAATGGCATCAAATTCTTTCACCACTGGTCCTGACTGAGGTTTCATCTGTGACAAACCAATAGAAGCCAACAAGCCTAAATACATAAATAAATAAATGAATGAAAAACACCCAAGAGATGAGTCCTCATCTTCTGGAAAGCAAAGCGAGGCTAACTGGGGACAGAAAATACTGTGTCTGCCAGCCATACACACAGCGGTCTGCTTTTGACTTTGATGTCCTGAAGTGGTAAGAGTCTGTTGTATTAAAAGCAGTAAAAGTGCGTTTTGTAGTGGTGGAGTTGTTTAGAAATGATGTTCAGGGTAATTTTAGATGCTTGTGATTCTTAAATGAACAGGATAAAGAGTACACGTGTATGGATAGACAGGTGACTCCTTATCCTCATTCCACTGCTGGCCCCAAAGGGGCTCAAAAATACATGTCATAAGCACCTTGCAGAGATACTGTTGGAGAATATGTTTGGGTTTTTTCCCTCCTATATAAACCTTTCTTGACTAATGTTGTCCTTTTGGTGTGTTTTTCAGATTAGTAAGCAGCAGCTCCAGACAATTAAAGATCGTTTCCAGGCCTTTCTCAATGGAGAAACCCAGATTGTGGCAGATGAAGCATTTATAAATGCTGTCCAGAGCTACTATGAGGTAAGCAGAGGTGATTTCACTGCTCATATGAATCACTGTTCTCACCTTTTTTATGGACAGGGTCAAATTTTGAACGAATGGACTCTTTGTACTTCACACTTGCCTTTTTTTTGGTGCTTTGTTGACAGAGTTTTTCCTTTTTTAACACATCACAAGATTTGTGAAGCTCAGGGTGCGCAGATGTGTTGTCCATAACTCAGCAGTGGCTCTCCCATGCTCCATGGCGTGTCCCATAAGTGGATTGTGGAGCAGCTCATCCTTCCTTTGCATTGAGAGAGATCTTCCTGATCTTCTAACCAACCTGCTTTAAAACACTTACGAGTGCTCTAAAGCAAAGGAGGAGTGGGGGAGGTGTACATCACCAAAACGGCTTTAAAGAATGTGGAACATCTCTCATAATTGTGCCAAAGAATGATTTTGTGTCTTTCTTTTTTCACCTCTTTACGTGCAGCCTTTTTTAAAATCTTTTCACAGAAGGAAAGAGGTTCTGTTTTTTGCAGGAAATCAGAGCTTGTGATTTGTATGAGGAGGGTTGCTTGTTTTGTTTTCTAGCCTTTCTGCAAACCATTTGTCTTTCTCCCTAGAGCTGTACTGTCATAAAAGGTGAGGATTTTGAATTGCCTACATAAAATATTTCTGTGGAAGTGGAATCTGAAAGGTCCAAAATCAAATACTGAAACGGAAGAGAATTTTAACTCTATAAAAAAAAAAATGACAGCAGCTGCTTCTGTGGTAGGAAAGCACAAATTATCCCTGGATTAAGTCTATTAAACTGCCCTAATAGTTACTTCTCCATCATTCTCCGTACAGGAAGGAAGCTGAGAGTAATTTACATCTCTTATCAGGAAAGACATTGCCAAGGGATCCTCAGTTTATCACAGCTTTGCTGAACAGATGCTCTTAGAGAAAGTTTTCAAGATGGCGTGAGCTGCATTTTAGGATGTAAGAGCAGCATAATCTGTTTAGATGAGATTATTGGGCAGGAAAATGAAACTGCTCATAAACAGACAAAATACATCACTGTTTCACTGGTGATGTGAAACTCTATCTGAAAGCATCTCCTGACCAGCTCTGGAGTCCTGTGCTATATAATTACATCAAGTAATCAAACTTTCAAACAACAACTATACATTTGCAGTTCAACTGGATGCTTCACTGGAATTGCCCTACATAACTCAGGCCACAAAAAGCAAGATGCATCCCTGTCTGTCCTTTAAAGCAACTTTCCAGGCTTGGTTCCAGTGTTGCAAGACGAGGCTGTGTGCAGCAGTGTTATTGGCTGTGACCTCCTGCCGTCTCCTACAGTCAGCAAGCTGAGCAGTTTCTCAGCTGCAGGCTGTGCTGGGAGCTTAGATTCTGATAGATCTCACCTGTTATCTAACCTGAAAGCCCCTGCACGCACCCAGGATGTTATCACTAGTGTTCAAGCTCCTTAAGGATAAGAAGGGTGTGCTGGTGTTGTTGCTGCACAGGCTCTGCTCAGGGCTGGGCTGGTCCTGGAGGAAGACCCACTTCCATTCCTGATGGACACCCGTGTTACTGAGCATCTGGGAACATAGAGTACCACGTTGCTGTACAAAAATCTACCATATCTTCAAGTCATCCTTGAGCTTTTTAATTATTGAGAGCTGACAGATACACCCCTGGCACACCTTCTTTCCAACCTGCCACATTTGTCAGTTCTCAGCATCATTAATAAAACAGCACTTCTCGCTAGGCATTGATTGCCCTTCTGCCTTCAGAGCTTGGAGGGGGGAGAGCCAGCACAACATTTCCCTGTCACCCTCTCAGCCCTTGGCTCTCTATAGCTCCCGTGGAATCTCCTGCTATGCTGGGCCCTGTTACATCTGGACCTTCTGTTCTTGCAGTCGTAAGAACACCTTCATCAGCTGTCTTCTCCCTCCTGCTGCCAGCATCCTGCACATCGCAGGGTGGCCTGCAATGATCTGGTTTGGTTTAGTAGCTTGGTGTAAGTCTGGTTTCCCCATGCGTGGCTGCGTGGATCCGTGCAGTGCTGTTGATCCAAGGTTGTCCAGGATGACTGGACTCGTGCTAACAAGGCAGAATTTGGCTGGGTGGACATAGTTATGCAATAACTTTCTTATTAAAGCATTTGATAGAGCAAAACATAATCCTTCTTTCCTGAACGGCATTTATGTATCAAAGTGTGGCTGTGGCATTGCCTGAAGACCTACATTGCATCACAGTGTTTCCATTCTAGCAGACACAATGCAGGAGCTTTACCTGATTTCATTAATATCACACCGTACAGATGCAGCCGCTGTCAGTCTGGCAGCACATGGTTATTGAGTGGGAAGTTGGAAAGCACGCTGGTGATGAGTTAGCACTTTTCCTGGCAGTGAAATGCTATTTGTGGTCCTTCAGGAGCGAGGGGGGATTGTTTTTAACCAACACCATCTGAACTCACCTTTTCCTCACAGGTGTTTTTGAAAAGCGATCGCGTTGCAAGGATGGTGCAGAGCGGGGGGTGCTCAGCCAATGACTCCCGAGAGGTCTTCAAGAAGCACATTGAGAAGAGGGTGCGCAGCCTGCCTGAAATCGATGGCCTCAGCAAGGAGACGGTCCTGAGCTCCTGGATGGCGAAGTTCGATGCCATTTACCGCGGCGAGGAGGATCCCCGCAAGCAGCAGGCCAGGATGACGGCGAGCGCTGCCTCCGAGCTCATCCTCAGCAAGGAGCAGCTCTACGAGATGTTCCAGAACATTTTGGGGATCAAGAAATTTGAGCATCAGCTGCTGTACAATGCTTGTCAGGTAAGGTCCTCCTCCTAGCGCGGGGGGGAAATGGGTTCATGCAGAAGAGACTGCTGATGGAAATACCACTGTTATAAACTGGAGGCTCTGGTCTTGGTCTGACCAAATGACCAAACTTGCGAAAGCATTTTGGTTCATGGTGGGATTTGTGCACTGCCAGTTCTGTTCTGGCAGTCCAAGCAGGCCTCCTTCTCTCATGTGTGTTTTTTCTCTTGGTTGGTTCCTTAGAGGTTTCTGTGGGTGTTTTAGATAGTCTTTATAAAAGTTTTCTTTTCTGAAACCCCATAGAATTGCTGAGATGGGAAAATTTCATTCCTGAGCTCTGTGTCTGGTTGAGCAGGTCTTTGATGGGACCCAAGAGGGCTGTTTTGCTGTGACTTGCTTGCCTTTATGTTGTCACATCACCCACCTAAATGACAGAAGCACTTTATTGCAGCCTGCAATAACCTTATTAGCGTTGGAAGCTCAGCTACCCTGAGGGTGAACGTCTTATGCAAACTCCCTTGTTTAGGGGAGAGGGGAAACAGCACATTGCAGGGCAGGGCTGTGTGCCTGCAGACCAGCGCCTCGTTTCCCATGGCTGTTGCTTCCTAAAGCAGGGAGCATCCCAAATCTCCACTGCCTTGGTGTTGCTCTGGTTGCACCAAATTCCTAGATGGATGCAAACCTTTCCCATGTCTCTTTTTTCCCCCTCAGTGAGATCTGATTCCCCAGGGATGCTGGGCTGGGTGCTGCAGAGCTGCTCACATCAGCTCTGCCTGTGCCCCAGATTGTGGTCCTTCCATTGGGTATTGATATCTCAGCAGGATAAAGAATGGCAGTTACAGAAAGGGCATGGTAATGCTAGGGAGAGTTTTCTGAGGAGGAGTAAACCCTGTAATTATGGGGTTCAACTTCTAATTGGAATTAATACATTTGAGACCAATTCTGTCTTGTGTCTAGACGTTTCCAAGTTTGTTCAAGACATGCAAAATTATTTTGGATGTATTTTTTTTATCCTGTAAGGAGCTTAATTATCTCACAATTGTTCTTCATCTCAGTCCTTTATGGCAGAGTGGGGAGAGGATAAACGTCCCTGACTAAGGCTTGTTTGCAGCAAAGGCAAGGACTGCATCAGTCCTCATAAATTATGTTTACAAACTAGATTTCGTGCCTCTGTCCCCTGATGGAGTACTTCTGTAAAATCAAAACCACAGTGTTGTCAGTGGTGGGTTGAGAGCTGAGTCAGTTTTGCAGTTGTTTCTTCTAACCTGTACTCACTCAAGCCCTCAGTCTCCCATCCTCCCTGACCTGCACACAGCTTGGGAACTTGAATGGCTTTGTGTAAGCATGTAATCTTATTCTCTTGCTTTGTGGTTCCCGGGGATGCAGAAAGCAGTATTTCATCTCCGCTGCACTGCTCTGTAGATGATCTCTGCTTTTGAGAGCCTCTCTGGCTGGCACCTTGAACCCAGTGGCAATTTGTGCTGGCTGCTCCCTGCAAATTGCCTTCTTGTATGCAGCAACCCATTTCCTGCTGTAGGCCGGAGCTGTATTCCGGAAGCCAAGAATCTCTGTCTAATATTCAGAGACAGCAAACCTGTAATTTGAGCTTCCAGAGAATGACATGATTTCTGCTGGAAGTGAGTATTAGCATGAGATTTGCTCAGTTCTTAGTACCTGCATAACAGGGGTGAGCTGAGCACTTTGGTCCTGCCTTGGAGCACCAGAATTGCTGTGGACCTCCACTCCTACCTGTATTCTCCTAGTTAGTCTGTTGCAGGAGATATAATTAGAACTTATCAACCTGAAGACGTTTTGTTTGATAAGTTCCATGGGCAGCTCCCAGCACAAGCCAAAACTGCACATCACTCATCTGAAGTATTTTCTGCAGCAGAGCTGCTGGGCACAGTGACTGATGTGCACTGAGCAGTGCTTTGTGCTGCCCCTTTTCCTCTTCATCTCTTATGATTAAATGCTTATGTTGGTCATGGAACAGATTTCCTGAATTACCTATGGCTGGTGGAGGACCCCAGGTGCAGCTGTGTATGGAGGAATGGGTGCAGGTTCTGTACTTTCAGATGTGCTGTGGCCATGGCAGGGCTGGGCGATGCTTCTGCATGATTTCCTTCCAGCTTCTCTGTCTCTTCCCCTCCCCGACTTTAAATTTTCATCAATTCTCATTTGCAAAAAAGCCTGACGAGTGCTTTTTTGCAAACACTCTCCCAGTCTGTCAGCCTGTGCTGCAGATCAGCAGCGAGCTCCCTGTGCAGCTCTCAGCCTGCACATACAGCAGGAGCTGCGGCTCAGCGCCCACCCTGCGAGCTTTGTGCCCCCTCCCACCTGACAATGGGCATTGCTTTCCATTGAATGTTTTATTTCAGTCCTGATTTATTTCAGTCAGTCCAATTATTTTGCTTCCCTGGCACGGGCTTGGTAAAATGGTTGGGTACTGAGTTAAATTACTGTGGTATGACTTGTTTCATCTGAGTTAATTGGAAGTTAAACTTAAATCTTTTTCTTAATAACCTGATTGAAGCTCCAGTCACCTGTTTCTGATGAGCAAAATATGTTGTATGTTCTGTTTGTGGATAAACTTTAAGCAAAAGGAAGACTTTGGTAGGGGTAAAGAGTGAGCAGGAATGGTACTGAGTCCCAAAAAGTTGCTTGAAGTTCATTGTGGAGCAAGGAGCCTTTCTCTTCTGTGCTCTCCTCTTGCATCATACTCACTAATTGCATAAAGATTGCATCACTGGGACTGTGTTTCTGTTCACATCTGAAATATTATTTCATTTATGCAGGAGGAGGATTTCAAAAGGGATTTTTTTCAATGCAGTATCCCCAGGTGGTATGAGATGAGTGAGTTCTTAATGTGCTAGAGATGATACAGCAGGATCTGAGACAGCAAAAAGGACTGATGTGGTTGGAAAAGCATTTAGGAAACAAAGATGGGAAGCGGTGCTGTAGCAAAATGGATTTGGAGGGAAGTGTTGTTAGGCACAGCCTCTGACTAGAGCATTTTAAATAATACAGAGACACTGAAGTTGTTGTGCTTTTTGGTTTTGCATAATACACACAGTGTGAATTGGCGTTTCTGCTCCACCGCGGTTGGTGTCTGTGTGAGGGAGAGGTGTTGGAGGTTTGGGGTTCTACTCCAGAACCCAGAGCTTGGGCCTTGTGGAGAAGTCATGCAGGAGAAACAGATGTTATTTTAAGGTGTTGGGCATTTCCAAACTTGGCTCTTTGCTGCAGTCAGCTTTTCCTTCGGCCCAGCTCTCTATTTCACGCTGACTTTGATGGCTGAATTGCAACAGCATCTCTGGAAATCAGGCTGTGGTCTTGTTATTCCCCATCTGTAGGGCAGTGATTTACTTCTCTATCTCATACTGTGTCTGAAAGTCATTTTTAGCACACTCTGAAGAGGAGATGCAGTCGAGTGCTGTTCAGTTAATCCAGCTGCAGTGATCCCATCCAGAGCCAAGCTCTGATAAGCTGTGTGCTTCTGTCCGCCCGCACGGGGCTCTCAGGCTGACCCTTCAGCATTGCCTGAATTCACAGGCTGCAAAATCAGACTTTCTCTTCCTCCCAAGGCCTGAAGCGTTCCATGGCATTTCTGTTCTGTCTGAAAAATGTCTGTGCTAAGCTTCCAATTTCACCTAATTCCCTTAGAATGAGAAACAAGTAGCTGAATATAGGCATGTCAGACCTGCTGAGTAATACATAGTAATGCATGGTTGAAGGTCACGTTCTTTCAACATCTGTTCCTGTCCATCTGGGTTGTAGGTGTAAGTTGCGTGCACGTGTGTGTGGTACAGCACAGAGCACATACCAAGCCCCTGTATCACCCAGAGGAATCAACACCACTCTTCTCTGCAGTTATTTTGCATGCTTTAAGGACCCGTGATCTTAGCTAGGAAGCTTTTCAACCCAAATCTTACCAGCCAGAGCTGGCTCAAAACTGGAATGCATTGTTATGACTGTTATTTATCCAGGTGAATTAGGATGCTGTGTCTGAAGGCTGACATCTCCCACAAAGCAGAAAGCTCCCTTGCCAAAAAAATTGGTTCCAGAGCTACTAACAGAAAAGATATTTAGAATTTCTGTCCCAGATCAAATATTTTATTTTAGCTCAATTCGGCATTGTAGATTATCCACTACAGCGGTATCTCTCCTTCTACCCATCCTTCATTCTTTTAGGTTGGATATTAGGAAAATCTTCTAATCCAAAAGAGTGGTGATGCACTGGCAGTGCTACCCAGGGAATGGTGGAGTCACCGTCCCTGGAGGTGTTCCAGAGCCATGGAGATGTGGCACTGAGGGATGTGGTCAGTGGGCAGTATTGATGGTAAGTGAATGGACTAGATGGCTGTAGGAGATCATTTCCAACCTTGATGATTCTGTGATTCTACAATTCATCTCTTCCATTCAGTTGGTTTTCCTGAGCCTGATTTCAGTGTGGTGTGTTAAGACCTGAGAGCTGTAATTATTGGCAGAGATGCTGGGTAGTGCTTGGAGGATATGGTCTGCTTTGGTCCAGGGCTGGAACACATTGGGGCAGAATATGAGGCCTTCAGTAGCACAGACAGCGGGATGAAGGTTAGGCTGACCTTAGAATCGAAGCTTAGTTTGTGTCTCCTCCCAGAACCATGTGCTTATCTTATTTCTGATGAAAAATTCCCAGCCACACCTTGCAGTGAGGGCTGAGCCCAGGGTCATTGCACACAGCATGGGGTTACCTGTCTGTGGGCATCTGTGTCTTCATTTCAGGGATGCTTTTTAGCATCAGATCACTATTTTCTGCTCCCCGTGTGTGAATTTTGGAGAACAGAAAGCAATTCCTTTTCATTTTAGCTTCATTCTGGAGCTTGGAGTCTATGAAATGGCCATCAGTAGTGTGCTGGATGTTTAGTGCTGGCTTTGTTGACCCCTGCAAAGGGCACAGCAGATGAATGCACAGAGCCATGGGCTGTCCGTGTTCTTTGCCAAGGCCCAGAGCATTGGCCTGAGCCCGTTTCCTTTTT